AAGAGTTTGATGTATATTGTTACTTATATCTGTTGCAAGGAGGGTTGGAAGTCAATTCTTTGTTGTTTTTTTGTTTTTCTTTTCTACACTTTTGATCTTTACTATTTTCTTTTTTTCCAATTTTCTTTTTCTTCTTCTTCTTCTTAATATTAGTTTTTGTTAATTCTTACTGTTCCTTTTAAAAAATTTAATAAAGTTATTACAAAAAAAAAGTATCACTTTCAAAGCATGGAGTCAGGCTAATACAGTACTTTCTTGTTTTGTTCTTTCTCTATGCTGGTAAAAGATGTAGTGCGTAATTATCCTAATATATAATCTTACTATATAAAGCTTCTCTCTATATTAGTTATCTTGTCTATCAGAAATAGAATATGCAGTTTGTATGCATGACATAAGCAAATATAAATAAAATAGGGTTAACTGCAGATACTTTGACTACTGTAGTACTCTAGAGGTGTAATGTCCTTGATTACACCTAAGACTAAGGATGCTAGGTCTCTGTTCATATCTTCCACAGCATAGGGCCATTTTAAGTTGTACAGGAATTTTAATGAATAAAGAAGGTTTTCCATTGCTGTGTTTGCCTTTCAAAAAATGGAGAGCTGTGTTAATGGACAATCAAGAGGAAATAGAACCAATGGGCTTGTATTCACCACTCTCAGCAGCAATTTTTGGTGGGCTAAAAAGATCTATATATTTCTACTCCATAGAATGCACATACAGTGCTGCTTAAAAGTTTGTGAACCCTTTTGAATTTTCAGTATTTCTGCATAAATAAAACCTAAAACGTGATCTGTTCTCCACACAAGTCCTAAAATGAGATAAAGAGAACCCAATTTAAAAAATGAGTCAACTCATTCATTTATTCATTTATTTATTGAGGAAAATGATCCAAAGCTACATATTTGTGTGTGGCAGAAGTATGTGAACCTCTAGGATTATCAGTTCATTTGAAGGGGAAATTAGAGTTAGGTATTTCAATCAATGGGATGATAATCAGGTGTGAGAGTGGAAGGTCATGCCTTATTTAAAGATCAGAATTCTGGGTATTCACTCTCAAAGTCTGATCTTCACAACACAGGTATGTGGAAGCGCATCATGACTTGAACAAAGGAAATTTCTGAGGACCTCCCAAAAACAGTTGTTGATGCTCACCAGGCTGGAAAAGGTTATACAACTATTTCTAAAGAGTTTGAATTCCACCAGTCCACTGTCAGCAGATTGTGTACAAATGGAGGCAGTTCAACACCATTGTTACCTACCCACCCCCAGGATTGGTCAACCAAGCATGATCACACCAAGAACAAAGTGTGTAATACTCCAGGAGGTCTCAAAGAATGCCAGAGTAATGTCTAAGGAACTAAATGCCACCCTTGCATTGGCAAATGTCAGTGTCAAAAATGTCAAAAAGCAACAGTGGTGTGCATGGCAGGTTGCAGGGAGATAGCCACTACCCTCCAAAAAGAACATTGCTGCCTGTCTGCAATTTGCAAAAGAACACATGGATAAGTCAGAAGGCTATTGTAAGAATGTTCTGTGGACAAATGAGACCAAAATAGAACTTTTGGTTTGAATGAAAAGTGTTATGTTTGATGAAAGGCAAACACTGCATTCTAGCATAAGAATCTTATCCCATCTGTGAAACATGGTGGGGATAGTATCCAGTAACCAGGGCCTGCTTTGCTGCCTCTGGACCAGGATGGCTTGCCTTCACTGATGGAACTAAATTCTACAGGAAAATGTCAGGATATCTGTCCATGAACTGAAGCTCAGAAAAAGTGGGTCAAGCATCAAGACAATGACCCAAAACACATGACCAAAGAATGATTAAAGCAGAAGAAAGTTAATGTTTTAGAATGACCAAATCAAAGTCCTGACCTTAATCCTATAGAAATGTTGTGGAAGGACCTGAAGTGGGCAATTCATCTGAGGAAGCCCAGCAACATCCCTGAGTTGAAGCTGCTCTGTAAGGAGGAATGGGCTACAATTCCTCTAAGCCTGTGTGCAGGACTGATAAAGTTATTAGAAACATTTATTTGCAGTTATTGCAAATAAATAGGTAGCTTTGGATCATTTTCCTCAAAAAATCAATGAACAAGTTTAATATTCTTGTCTTATTTGTTTAATTGGGTTCTCTTTATCTCATTTTAGGTCTTATGTAGAGAAATATTTCGGTCTTTTTATGCAGAAATATTGAAAATTCAGAAGGATTTACGAACTTTTAAGCATCACTGTATATTTCAAAAGAATATAAAAAACTTCTGGATAATCTGGTAAACCTAGGCCAATAGGAAAAATACTGGGCAATCCTGTTCATATCTACTCATGAGTATGTCTCAGTGCCAGGTTAGTGACTTTAGGAATCATTGTTGTTTTTGATAGCCGCTACATTTGTTTTCATTATGATAAAATGAAAGTTCACATTATAGATTATGAATGAAATAAAGGATAAAAGTTCTAACTATTAGGGATCAAAATAGCTTTGTACATCTCCTGGAAATTATTTGGTACCTAGACTTATCTAAACTTATTTCCAATCAATATGATTAAAACGTTAATTTCAAACAGTTCTGGTTTAAAACATTTGATAAACTAACAGTCTTCTTCATAATAATGTAAATATTTTAATGAAAAACTATACAGCGCTGAAAAGCTGAAAACTTAGCTCACTATAGGGCATCAAAAAGTGGTCATAACAACAATGCAAAAAATAATATCTTCACCTTTGTTTGATACTTTAATCAATTTGTTTTTAGAAATTGCTTCAAAGTTTTTGTAAAATATTGTGCTGGACAGAATGCATTATATATAAAATAAATTATGCTCATTTTTGTAGGTTTTCTATCAAGACACTGATTGATCGTTCATGCTTTGAAACTATTGATGATTCATATCCTGAATTCAATAATTTTGCAGCTATTCTGGAACAAATTCTAAGCCATCGGCTCAAAGGTATATAAAATCTGATTTTACATGTTTTGTGGAAGAGGACCATCTTTTAGAAGATACTTTTTTTTTCTTTTTGGCAAATATAGATTTAGGTTGGTATAATTGTTATGGCTTTATTATAAATATCTTTTGAGATTCTAGGATTTTCAACCAACCCTCTCTGAATTGAAATTAGGGTGCTGTTGCCAGCTGAACACATTGAGCTTGCAAACTGAAATTTGGAAGGATTATTAAAAAATAAAAATAATAGTAGGCTTCAGACTAATGCTCTGTTTAGTGTTGTGCCCACAGGCAAACTGATGCCATAGAAAATACTTTGAGAGGCTAGAGAATATAGCACAACCTACCAATTTGCTTTCTTGTACATGGATGTTTTGTGATTTACCATGCTCACAAAAGAAGCCATTTGTTAAGAGTGATTTATCATAATCTCAAAATTCTAGATGTGCTCACTGGCTCTCCAAAGTTGGGGATTTCTATGTTGCTTAAAGAAAGATGTTGCATTATACATCTAGGTTTTATATTCCTTCAAAGAATCACAGCATGTAATTTATAAACACTTTATGATATGCACACTTTGTTTTAGTGGTTAATCTCTTCCTATTCCCTGATTTTTCAGGTCAAATCACTTGGTTTGGGTATGAAAGCCCTCGTAGTTTCTGGGATTATATTAAGGTGGCTTGTCGCAAGGTTTCATATAATTGCATCTGTAGCATTGAGAATATGGAAAATGTTGCTTCTTCAAGAGCTAGGGTGAGAATTTTAAAATACTTGTTGCTATGTGTTTTATACTGTTCAATTTAGGTACAATCTTCCCATTTTTCATCATCGTGAGGGAAGTTACAAGTTCTGAATAAACCAAGAATATTATAACTTTAAGGAATGTCAAGCTGAAGCCTGGTTCCATTTGCAGTGATGAACAGTAGAAAAGCTAGTGGTGTTAAAACAAAGGATTACTGCAGTTACTGTATATTACTGCAGTAACAAGGAACCGTGAACATAGCACTGCTTTAAAAGTGCTATTTAGTTGAATTTATTCAGGTCACCAAAATGAAGAAATATAATGTAAGGTAGGAGCTGTAATTTATGAGCTTCTAGTAATGTTAGATATGAGTGAGAATTTTTTAATTTCATATACAGTATATTAAGAAGAATGTGTAACCTGAAAATTTGTGTACTTGCAGAAAGGAATCTAGCAGAAGACCAGTTGTTTAAATAGTTAAAGTAGACATGTTTGTAAATATTTGAAATGCAAAAATATGTTTGCAGACACTTTCAAAATCATATGGATAAAATATAGAAATAGAATATTTGTCATCTAATTCTTACTTGCTTAAAAGTTTGTAGAAATACACCATAAACATTTAAAGGAAAAAGCAAATGTTGCAGTTTTCTAAAGTAGAATAGTTTGTAAAAATGTTTCTGAAGGAGTTTCTACTTCAGTAGAGAGAATACTTTAAAAACAGGTTTTCCTTCACTAATATATTGTAATCTGAGTTCTCAGGTTTATTACCTGTTGTTACAGTTTCTACCAGTTTGCCAAGGAAGGCATCAGAATGGTAAAAACAGACAATTTTAAACTTTGAAAGACTGAGAAAAAGTTGCAGCGAAATTAGAGCTTCATTTAGTTCAAGATCTGTTAATCCTGGAAAGTTTGGAGCCATTTCAGTGACATGAATATATAGAGAGAGCCCTAAAAGGAGAGAACTTGATGAAGTTGATGAATAACCTTGATTTCACATGCAGTGAGGTTTTATGAAGAACTACTCAAAATAGTAACATGTTACTAATTTTGTACTAATTGTAACATGTACTAGTTTACATGTTACTAATAGAATAAAACATTCTATTACCTATTTTCAGAGATTTTTTCCCCAGAGAATTTTAAATGAAAATGCAAGTTATAAATGTGAAAAAAGATAAAAATGTAGTTTCTTGAAAAAGGTGAATTAGGGTTTGGTTTTTTTTAGAAAAGCTCAATGAAGACTTTTGAGCAGTATGATGAAGGGTGTGTGTGCTATATTTCTAATTTTCCAGACCTCTTTCCTTCCAGTTTTCTTTTTTTCATTATTACGATTGTCAATTTTGATGTTACATTATGCTAATATCTCTGCATTTTTTCTTACTATTAGCTTACTGTAATAAATAAATAAATAAATTTATTTAAATATAATAAAACATAAAAATGAAGTTTAAAATATGACTTTCCAATTGTTCTCTGGATGATACAATCTATTCTACTAACTCATTCAAACAAATGCCTCATTTGTTTGAAATGCATCACTATGTGTACCATAACAAAAAGTTCATAAAATTGTTTTTGTGATTGGAAAGTAATATATAGGTTTATAGGTTTATGTAAATGTATTTTCTATACAGATGGACTAAGAAATGTGTATAGAAGTAAACAAAGTAGTGAAGGTTTGGCAAGCAGGATAAAAGCCAAGTCATTGCTACTCTGTATAGATAAATTACCATCACATATGGATAGGACGAAGCTTGATAACTTTGTTAGCCTGGTTGGGTTTCAAAGATTTAGTGGACCTGATTTCTGTTTAATAATATTTATGTCATGATTTTTCTTTTTTAGGGAAGGGCTTGGATTAGAGTAGCACTTATGGAGAAACACTTGTCTGAATATATTTCTGCAGCTTTGAGAGACTTCAAAACAACCAGGTATTTAATATTTTGTTAAACAAAGTGGCATAAAGTGGGTTTTAAGTTCACTATAGTACTTTACTACTACTACTACTTAAAAATCCCAGTATTTGTTGGTCATCAAATTTAGTCATCAAAGACTTTATTTATATGAAGTTGAACTCATTTTAAAATCTGTGCTTGACTTTTTTCTAATTAGGATTTTAAAAAGGGTTCCTTTCTATCCCAGTAACAGTCTGATACTCTCAAAAAAGTATGTGATGGTTAAGTTAATTTTATCCTAAAAATATGCAGACATCTTGATTCTGAATAATTTGTTGTTTCTAAATAATCATGCCCATAAATACATCAAATCCAAACACATTCATAGTATCCTTGAAATGTATAGGTAGAGCAGGTCATTTCAATTACCATAAAAATGAATAAGTAGTTTTGTTAACAGTATAAATTAAAAATTGGTAGCTATTGGCATTAGCTATCATCAATAATTTGAGTACTTGGCATGTTATTTAAGTAATTGAGAATATATTAATTAGAATTTAATCTTTTTCTAGAAGATTCTATGAAGATGGAGCAATTGTATTGGGAGAAGAAGCAAACATGCTAGCTGGTATGCTGCTTGGACTCAATGCTATTGATTTCAGGTATTCATTCTTATGAATGTGAAATTAAATCATAATTTTATTTAGTAAAAGATAGTTGATTTCCTAATTAACTCATTATATGTTTTGACTGTTAGGTCAAAATTTTATTTTTAAAGTTGGTAAATTTGTTTGTTTGTTTGATAAAAGTAAAATTTCTGCCAAGTTGAGCTTAACTGCTTGTGACGACATGGGCATATCTATATTGTATTCTGGGCAACAGCATGAAAATAGTTTGCCATTTACTTCTTCTAGAATTTTATTAATTATTTCTCAGTCTAGCCTATAGCCCTGGTATTTCCTGATAGTCTCCTATTCATGCACTGACCAATTCTTACCCTGCTTATCTTTCTTGAGATTGTTGTTGTTGTTTAGTCGTTAAGTCGTGTCCGACTCTTCGTGACCCCATGAACCATATTGCGCCAGGCCTTCCTGTCCTTCACTGCCTCCCTGAGTTT